GGGGGGGGCCGGGACTGGGGGTGGGGCGCTGGGACCAGAATCAGCAGAGCACCGTCAGCTGTCTTGGGACCACTCACTTCCTCACAGTGTGCCCAGGTTCCAGCCTCCGTTTTGTCCTCTGGGAAATGGGGATGGTCATGCCCACCTTGTAGAGGGTGTGAGGACACTGTAGGCAGGCCCTTGGGGTTCTGGGTACCACCCTGGTGGGCATGGCTCTTGGGTATTCAGCCTCGTGTGCCGGGGCAATACTGGCACCGTCTTATTTAATCCTCACATCACCCTGGAGGTAGGAGAATTACTATACCCATTTCCCAGAGAGGGAAGAGGAGGCCCGAGAAGTCCCTGGTCGATTGCTGGGGGGATTCCAAGAGCCAGTGGTGGTGATATGTGCTGTCCCCTCATCTCCTTCAGGTACCGGGAACGTCAACATCGAGGAAGCAGAGAAGCTCTTGAAGCCCTACCTGAAGCGATATCCTAAGGTGAGTCTCCCCCCCTCCCCCGCCAAACCCGCCCCGAAACCTCCCCCCCGGCCCATGTGTGCCCTGCGCACCCACACAGACCCACGTGCGTGTCACTGCAGGGTGCCATCTTCCTGTTCTTCGCGGGGCGGATTGAAGCCATTAAGGGCAATGTTGACACAGTGAGTAACGGGGGTCTGAGCCAGGGCTGGTGACCCCTTGTGGTCTCCCAGACCAGCGGGCAGAGACTGGGAGGAGGGCTCCAAGAGAGAACCAACAAGAGGGCGGAGGGGAGAAGCAGTTCAGAACGGGACAGTCTGGGGAGATGAGGGAGGAGGTGGCATTCGCGGTGAGTAAGATCTGACAGGGAGATGCAGGACTGCCGCATTCCCGCACAGGGGGGCCCTTCGGTGAGACAGAGGGGTGGAGGCCCCGCTTGTTCAGGGCCTGGTGACAGGCACTGTGAATGGAGCAGCGGTGTCAGGGTGTGAGGTGGGCACCTTGATGACCTGGCTAAGGAGTCTGAGCTCCGTAGATGGGAGGGACCCAGGTCTGGCAGAATCCCTAGGAGGGACTGCACAATGTAGAGTTCTGGGGTTTCCAGCTGGCCCTGGCTGTGGTTCCTCAAGCGGCAAGACAGATGCCCCGAGTCCAGATCCTTTCATGGGAGCTACTGGAAGCTTCCTGAGTTTGTTCTGAGGCACAGACATTGTATTGCTTTCATATTAATACTTTCCACTGCCTCCTGTCCTTCCATTACAGCTCTTTCCCATCCTTTCATTTTGTGCCCAAAGACTAGAGTCCCAGGAAGGGGCAGTAACTGGGCCCGGGGTTGTCCTATCAGTAAGACTTAGTGGGTAGACCCAGGCCTGGAGCCCGGAATTCCCATCCCATCCCCCCAGCGCTGCTGCCCCTCCCCCGCCCCCGAGCCTGGCACAGGGCTGGGCCGCCGAGTGCTGGGGGAGGCTGGGCCTGCCGTGGAGCGGGGCAGGGCGGTGGGGCCACAGCGCTGACCAGCAGCTGCCCGCAGGCCATCCAGCGGTTCGAGGAGTGCTGTGAGGCCCAGCAGCACTGGAAGCAGTTCCACCACATGTGCTACTGGGAGCTGATGTGGTGCTTCACGTACAAGGGCCAGTGGAAGATGGCCTACTTCTATGCCGACCTGCTCAGCAAGGAAAACTCCTGGTCCAAGGTGGGCTGACACCAGGTGCTGGGGTCGCTGGGGGGCCAGGCCAAGGCAGCCTGGCCACAAGCCCCCAGACCCAGGGCCAAACCCTTAACTGAAAACAGATGTCTCAGCTGGAACTTAAACTGAACCATAAGTTCTAAGAGGACTCAGGGTTGGTAGGAACTAAAGACCGTGAGGAGCAGATAAAGTTTAGAACTACAGTGTCAGTCAAGATTTTTAGTCACAAGGGACGGAAGCATGGCTCAGCTGTCTAGGTGAGTGCTGTCCGATAGAACATTCTGTTATGGTGGAGGTAGCCCCCAGGTACAGGGCACGTTGAGAACCTACAGTGTGCTGGTATGACTGGGAACCTGGCTGCTTTCAATTTTATTTAATGCAAATTTAAATTTAAAAAGTCACATGGGGTTAATGGCCACTGTATATGGACTATGCAGGTTGAAAACACCAAAGGCTCTTTAGTTCACAGAACTGAAAATTCTAGGCACAACTGATTTCAGGTAGGGCTGGATCCAGGAATTCAAATTATGTCATCTGGGTTGACATTTTTCCATCTGTGGCTGTGCTCTGCTCTATGACATCTTTGCTGTGCAGGCGGGTTTTCTCCATGTGACAGGCAGGGTGGCCACGGACCGCCTGCCCCTAACTCACATCTTCCCTTTGGTTTCAACCATAGTCCCACAATCAAGGCTCACTGGTCTGGCGTAGGTCACATGTCAGTGCTTGGGAACAGGGGTGGGAAGACTCCTCGTGGATCAAGAGTAGGAGAGGGGTGGTTCTCCAGAAAAAAATGAGGGGATGTCCCCAGAAAAAGTGTTGGTTGGTGGGAAGAGGCATTAAAGAGATCCTATGAAGGCAAAATAAAGCACAGCAGATGCCCACAATAGGTGAAAACTTGTAACATTATGGTAAGTGGTAAAGTAAGTGTTAGCCATTATCATCACAGTAATGATAGCACAGAATGCTCAACTAAGACTCTTAGAATCATGGAGATCATCAGAGAGCATCCAATTTGGAATTGGCAAATATAGAGAACATGGGTCTCAATGACCTTAAATCCTGATTTCTCATCCCTCCCCCACCTTTTCAGTACCCCTGTCCAGGGACAAAGCTGAAAGGGAATTCTTTGGGTCTGGGGCAGGCGGGGCTGGAGGAGGGGGCAGGCTTTCACTGAGCTTACTGTGTGCCCAGCACTTGCTGTTTCTTCCACATACACCCGATGAGGTAGAAGTTACCTCCATTGGGCGCACAGGGACATGGAAGCCAAGAGAGGGTATGTGACTTTCCTGGCCCACACAGGTGCCGGTGACAGACACTGGATTTGAAGACAGTTCTGTGTGACTTCAAGGCCTTTGCTTTTCCCTTGTTCCTTAAGTCCCACTGAGGAGGCCCTTCTTGCCCTGAGACCACCATGCTGTTGAAGGTGTTCCCTCAGACCTAGTGCCTTTGGGCCTGAGATTCATTCCTCATCCCCTCCCACCCCCAGTGGGAACACCACCTCAGGGAACCTTGTTGAACTAAAGTGACCTAGAAGCCTTCCTGTGGAGGGAGGCAGGCAGCTGGGCTCACATACACAGGGAAGAAGAGGCCCGGGGTGCCCTCGCAGCTGCTGGGAGGAGCTGAGGCGGGGCCAGGCCTCCCAGGTGTCAGGAAGTCTGGCTGTGAGTCAGCTCCATCGCCAGCTCACTGTGTGGCTTTGAGGTGGCCAGCCCCCCCACCCCCTACCCGCAATGCTTTCCTCAGAAGTGCTTCCTGTGAAAGTGGGGGTTGTAGTACCTCGAATTCTGGGGCCTTGTTCATTCCTAATCTGCGGCACTTGGCCACCCGAATCCACCAACTTCCGGCTCTAGGAACTTAGCGTATGGCCACTACTCAGCCCCTCTGCTCGGCATCCCTCTTTGACTGGACTGTGCCAAGTCATCCGTGTGGGGCCTTCGCATTTCCCCCAGTGCATGCAGCCTGAGATGGCCACACGCATAGTGGAGACAGTGGTATGCTGAGTGCCATAGTGAGGGAATCTAAGGGGAGCTCAGAGGCAGCCCTGGGCAGGCCAGCCAGGAGGACAGAAGAGGAGAATTTAGGGTGGCAGAGTGGAGGAAGTGGAAGGGTACTCCAAGCGAGGAGAGCAGCAAGGACCGAGGCTCAGGAGCTAGGGTGCTGCCAAGAGGTTCTGTGTCACCAGGTGAAGGGCTTTGTGGGTGGGAGTGCAGGGTTACTGCGGAGGGACTTTCCCCCTAAGTCACTAGCTGTAAGCTTCTTGAGGACAAGGACTGTCTACGCAGAGCCTGGTAGAGTAATCCAGTAAAATAAATGTGTGGAATCATTGGGCAATCAGATAAGCCTGGGGAGACAGGACTGCCACCCAGGGAGGTGGCTGTTTTCCATCAGAGTGGCCCCGTAGCATCCCTTGATAACTTGGGTGCCTGTGGGTCTCAGAACTCTAGGTCACTGCATCCATCCTAACTTCTGGTGACTCAATGAGGGTAAGTTGTTTGGGTTGGGGGAGGGGTGGCAGAAGGCTCTTAGAGGAGGCCAGCGAATGGGCCTGGTAAGGAGGGACAACGGCATCCCAGGCAGAGGGATGGCACAGGTGAAGGCCTGGGAGTTTAAGGACTGATGGGGGAGAAATGGCAGAAGAGGAATCAGAAAATCAGGTCACAAAGGGCCTTTGAGTGGCTGTTTGGGCTTTAATCTGAGAGTGGGGGAGCCCCTGATGTTTGTGGCTTAGATCTGTGCCCTAAGAAATCCCTCCTGCAGTTGTTGGGCACCCCATGGGCCAGGTCCTGAGGACATCCAACAGTAAACAAAGCAAAGACCCCTCCATCTCAAGGCTCATATTCTAGTGGGAAGAGGGATAAGAAACACACAAATAGGTGTACAGTATGTCATTAGGCTGGTATATGCAGTAAAGAAAAATCAGGCAAGGCCTGTCTGAGAAGACACCAGAATGAAGTGTGGGAGCAAGCCATATGGATTTCTTAATGAAGAGCGTTCCAGGCAAAGGACACTGAAGATGCAGGGGTGGGGAAGGTGAGTGCATCTCAGGTGTTCTGGGAACAGCCCAGAGGCTAGTGTGGCTAGAGTGAGTGAGGGGGAAACAACATGAAGTTGGAGAGGAAACTGGGGGAGGAAACAGGGTAGGGGTTTACAGTCCATTACAGGGAGTCTGGATTTTATCCTAAGCATTCTGGGCTACCAAGATTTCAAAGAGGAACTGACATGACCTGACTTAAAAAGATCAGAGTGGGGTCGCCTGGGTGGCTCAGTTGGTTAAACATCCGACTCTGATTTTGGCTCAGGTCATGATCTCAGGGTCATGGGATAAAGTCCCATGTCAGACTCCACTCTCAGCATGGAGTCTGCTTGTCCTTCTCCCTCTGCCCCTCCCCCACTCATGCTCTTTCTCTCTGTTAAATAAAATCATTAAATAAAGAACAGACTGGTGGTGGTGTGGAAATGGCCTGCAGGGACAGGGATGGGAGCAAGGAGATGGGTTAGGAAACCATATGGACAAGGGCAGTAGAAAGACATCCCCGGTGGCCTGGAGCGGGGATGTGGGATGGAGGCTGGTGCAGTGAGTGCGGGCGAGGCCAGTGGGATTCAAGAGCTATAGAGGAGGTCAGATCATGAGGACTTGCTGACTCAGTGCCAGGCAGAGAGGGAGAAGGTAAGGATGACACCAGGAGGTTAAAGATGGGATGAGCAACAGGTTTCAGAGGGGGAGAGATCTTCCCACCACCCCTGCAAAGACCAGCTTTTCCTCATTTTGTGAAGGGTAGATGGAAGTATGGAGGGCAGAGTGGAACTAGGAGTAGCCCTGAGCTTCAGCCTGAAAGGGGCCCCCAGGTGGAGGCTGCTTTCTGCCTTCTCCTGAGACTCGACTCCACGATGTCCTGCTCCTTTTCCTTCTCCACCCCCCTGTACTTCTTTGTGAGCCACTGCCAGGTTCTTCCTCCACAGCCCCTGGTGGCAGGAGCTGAGGTTCAAGGCTCGGCCACTGGGGGGCAGGACATAGCCAGGTTTCTGGAGGGCTGGACTCCTGGGGAAGGGGAGCAGCTTTCAGGGATGTACCCTGGGGTGGGGATGGGGGTCTCTGCACAGCTGCACCTTCCCTGTCAGGGCTGCCTGTGGATCCAGTGGGCAAGGCCCTGGAAGCACACAAACCTGGGGTCACTTCCAGCTCTGCCCCCAGAAGCTCTGCAGTCCCAGCCAGGAAGCAGAGGCAAGGTACAGATTCCTTTCTGGCATTGTCTTTGGGATCAAGTGAGGTGAAGTGTGTACAGTGCCTGGCACACAGGAACGTCGTTCTACGCAGGGACCCTGACTCAGTCTTCTGGCCTCCCACCTCTGTTTTTAGGCATTCCATACTTGCCGCTCCCTATTTGTCGCCTTCTTACCACACATCTCGGCCCCTCCCTGGCTTTGCTCAGGCTGTTCCCCTCGTCTGGAAGGTCCTTTCTCAGGTCTCTGTGAATCATCCCATTGGCTCTCAAGAGTCCAGTCCCAGAAGCCCTTACTGCCCTTTGTGTGTCCATCCTCGCCTCAGCACTGCCCCGCACACCCACTCGTTGCCCAAGTCCTTCCCCCCGCTGCATCAGAGGAGAGAGGGAAGCAGCTTTGATGTGGGCCTCTCCAGGACTTAGCTCCCAGCTCGTCCTCAAGGTGCTTCAGCTTCCTCACCCTCACTTTCTCCCCTGGGGCTTGGCTACCGGGCTGGCCTTGTGAGGTCTGAATGAGGTGTGTAGAGGGCGGGCTGCTTACATCTGACTCTTGCTCTGCCTTGCCCAGGCCACCTACATATACATGAAGGCCGCCTACCTCAGCATGTTTGGAAAAGAGGATTACAAGCCGTTTGGGGATGATGAAGTGGAGTTGTTCAGGTGGGTCCGGGGCCTCAGCCACATCTGCCCACAGCCACCCTGAGCTGTGGGCACCGGGGAGGGAGGTGGCGGGCTTCTCATCTCCCCTGGCTCTGAGCTCCCTGACCCTCCCCCAGGATGGCCCCATGTGCCTCATCACCACCACTTCCTACTGCTGCTTGTTCCAGCCCTTTGAATCTGTTCAGAGGGCTCCCCCGCTCCGGCCTCAAGAAAGGGGTTTTGTCAACATCCTTTCCACTGAGCCTCTTTCTTCTGGTCAGTGGGATAGATGTGTGGACACTGAGGTTCAGAGATCTGAGGTCCCTTCTGCTGAGTTAGCCCGCTCTACTCAGAGAAGCACAGTAGAGAACCAAAATGTGGGAATCAAACAGGATCAAATCCAGCCTCTGCCGTTTCTTAGCTGTGTCACTGTGAACAATTTCAGCAGCTATAAAATGAGAATAACCACTTCTGCCTTGCAGGGTTGTTTTGTGAATCAAATAGAGACTATATTGAAGAGCCTGGTGTAGGGCCTGGAGCCACTGAATAGCGGCTGTTTTTATTCTTATCTGTGCTGCTGATTGCCTTGTGCGAAGGGTCTAGAGCAGGGCTCAAGCCTCAGCAGGCTGAGGATGGAGCCTCGGGCCTTCTTCCAGTCCTGGGTGAGGGCTGACCCCAGCTTGCAGACCTGGGAGTGGTGGTAACCTGATCTTCCCACTAACTGCTGTCATAGTTGTAGGGTGTTTTATCATTTACCAAGTGCCTCCACTTCGCCATCTCATAGCTCTTCCAGAAAGCCTGGGACAGTAAGTAATCTGTGGGGGAGGAAGGATCATTTTCCCTCTACATTTCTAGGTTCTTGGCTAGAGACTGGCTGAGATACTCCCCCCACCCCTAATAATAAAAGATTAACAGGAGAAAAATAGGCCAGAGTTTAATAACATGTATACCTCCTGTATACATGGGCGAGACCCAGGAAAACTGAGTCACTGAAATGGCCCAAGCCATCACCTTAAATATCATCCCCAGCTAAAGATAACAGAACATGTTGGGGGGTGGAGAGCCAGTTCTGAGAGGTTTTCAGGCAAAGCACAGTAAAGGAGGTAAGGTGGTCCTGCAGATTTAAGGCTCTGCTTTCTCCTTTAAGAGTTTCTAGGGCTTGTCATCCTCTTCCAGGTACAGAGGAGAAAAGCCCTTATTATTGGGAGATCTCACTTATAAGTGTAATTGTCTCTTAGAAAAGGGCAGCTGCTACTAGGTTTTCAGAGCTTTTCCTGTATCTGCTGTTCCTTAACCAGCCTAACAATCCTTACGCAGAGGCATATTTCAGGATGACAAATTCTGCTCCCCTTCATAGCACTATCTCCAATTCAGAGATGAGAAAACGGGGGCCCAGAGAGGTTCCACACTGAATAAGCAGGGGAGGTGTTTGGCAGGGAACCTCACAACTAGATCTAGCTGGATGGCTCAGGCCTGAGGGTTACAGCCACACCCAGTGACTATGGCAGAAATCGGAGGGTGGGAATGGAGCTGGGTGGGTGAGGCCCCAGATGTGGAGGCTTGCCTAGCTGCACGCATGTTACTCTGCCCTTGGAAACAGCTAAGGAGGCCACAACTCGCGTGGCAAATTAATTAAAGGTTTGAGCCATGCAGTTGTGGGCAGGTCCTTCCTTTTCTCTGAGTGTTAATCGTGGAACTGGGGTCAGACTTCTGCTGGGCCTTCTGGGCCTGAAAGTGGAAGCAAGACAACTAGCAAAGCAGGCCTGGGGTGTTTGCTGACATTCTCACCTCTGCCAGCTGGTGTGGAGGAGGCCTCTCACCTAGCCTTGGGAAGTGGTCGGGTTTGGAGGCAGGGCCTGTGATACAAGGCCACAGCCACAGGCTGTTGAGTCCGACACAGTCCCTCATATAAACTGGGGAAACTGAGGCCCAGAGAGGAGCCAAGCAGAGGTTGGGCAGGCTGGAGATCTCAGTCCTCTCTAGCTTTTTTCTTCCCCTCATCTCTTTCACAGAGCAGTGCCTGGCCTGAAGCTCAAGATTGCGGGGAAATCTCTACCTACAGAGAAGTTTGCTATCCGGAAGTCCAGACGCTACCTCTCCCCCAAACCGATCTCGTTGCCAATCCCTGCTCTGGTGGGTAGGAGGGTCTAGACTGTCCCTGTACTTGTTTGGATTGTGGGGATTAACTGAAAGCCAGAGATACTGCTACGGCCAGGGGGAAGTGGATGGGGGAGAAAGACCTTTGTGCCTCAGGGCCCTGAAAAGGATTTCACAATTTACCTGGGTCTGTGAGGGAAGCACACAAATAGGCCAGAGCCAGCCCCTGCCTGAGAAAGTACTGGTCTGGTAGGGGCAGGGAGACAGGTGAGCAGGTTCCAGGCGCCTTAAGGTGAGAGAGCAGGCCCACACCCCTGTGCTCAGGCAAGGACATCACTCAGCTGTTTGTGTTCCCACCCATCTTATAACTGTTTACACTGTCCCCCTCACTGGACCAAGTTTTTCTGAGGCCTAGGACCATGTTATAATAGGGCACTGACTATGTTCTTTACACCCATTGCCTCATTTGATCCTCACAACAACCCTGAGTATCAGATGCTGGTGGTATCCCCATTTTACAGATGGGGATAAGGCCTAATAGATAAGTAGAGAGAGAAAATATCTAATAAATAGGTAAGATATAAGTAGAAAGATAAAATAACTCGTCCAGGTCACACAGCTAGTGAGTTGAAGAGTTAGAATTTAAACCTAGAATGGTTCTAGAGCCCAGATTCTGAACTGCTGTTATGATGCTAATTCCATGCCTGATTTGAGCAGGCATCAGAGAAGTTCCCAGCTCGTTAAGAGTCTTTGTTGTTCAAATACTAAGGTAGCCAAAAAAGTGGAAAGGGCACTGCTTTTTTTTCTGGTCCCAGCTCCACTATTCACTAACAATGTGCCCTTGGATAGGGTTCCCCTTCCCTTAATATAAGATTAGGAATGATATACATCTTGCCCATTTCATAGAGCAGTAATGAGAATTAGCTGATAAACTGTTAAATATTTTATGAATCAAAAACTGAGTATCAATATAGAGCTTATTATGTATCCTAGATTATTTCTAAACACATTTTGAAGCTGTTTATAGTTTAAATTGTACAATAAAACTATTATCATATGGGGGGTGATGGAAAGGGCAAGAAGTGACTATACCAGAAATTTAGGAGAATTTCTCAAACTATAATCTGCAAAATGCTATTTATGCCTAAAATAGTTTCTGTGATTAAATATATTTGGGAAAGACTGGCCTAAACAAAGTTTATACACTGTGGACCTTTTGGAGCCTTTATATAATATGTATGGTAAGTCTCCAAGAATAAGCTTGAAGATGATTTTTTTTCCCCTAACTTATTTGGCCACAGACCTCTTTCTTTAAAGGAACATTTGCTAATTTGGGACCATATACACCATTTGAGGAATACTGGTTCTAAACTTAAATTCCCTTCCTAGAACATAATAACAAGAACCAAAACAATAACATCTTTTTAGAACTTTTTGTATACAAATCACTTTCACATCTATTACCTGGTTTCATAGTTTAGGAAATGCTAATGGAATTACTATAAATGAACATTTAATTTAGAATTCTGAGATTCCTGGCAGTGGAGGAAAGAAAGGAATCCGGATGTCTTGCATAGTTTTCATGATGGTAACTCAAGCCCACTGCCTTGGGAGAAGAGAGACAGGGTGACAGTCTTAAGAGCTATTGGAAATCCTGAAGTACTTAAGTAAATACAGTTCCTCCAATATGGGAGGTCCTGCCAGATGAGCAGGGAAGAGGACTTCCTGGAGAATGTGGGTCATAGCCTGGTCCTCAAAGTATAGGGGAAGAGTTTGGACACAGAGAGGTTGGGAGAGAGCATGATAACCACCCAGGGAAGCCATGAGCAGAAGAGTAGTTAAAAACTATGTGCAGGGCACCTGGGTGGCTCAGTTGGTTAAGCGACTGCCTTCGGCTCAGGTCATAATCCTGGAGTCCCGGGATCGAGTCCCACATCGGGCTCCCTGCTCCACGGGGAGTCTGCTTCTCCCTCTGACCCTCCCCCTTCTCATGTGCTCTCTCTCAAATAAATGAATAAATAAAATCTTTAAAAAAAAAAAAAACCAAAACTATGTGCAGCTATGAGCAGAACAGTGAGGATATGGGTCGATCTTAAATCTGCATTGGTGTAAGGTGAGATCCCAATATCAGTGATGAGGCTCCCTGCCATGGCCCTTCGAGCCCTTCATAGGCTGGGCTGAGATCTGTCATAAAAGATTAGAGCTAGAAGGGCCTTTAGTGATCCTCTTGATCTGAGCTGCCCATTTACAGCTGGGGAAACTAACACCCCACTGGGGAGGAAATCTTTGGACTGACTTGCTCCCCTGCTCTCAGGAAATGATGTACATTTGGAATGGCTATGCTGTGATTGGGAAGCAGCCGGAACTCACAGACGGGATACTTGGGATTATCACCAAGGCTGAAGAGATGCTGAAAAAGGGCCCAGGTGACTAACCCCGGCCCTTGAAACTGCCAGGCTGAGTCAGATTACAGGTCTTTACAGTTAAAGTTTCCCTCTAGTAAAAATGTCCTTCCTTTCTTCTCTACCCTGGTTAGTGTGGTCCTTTCCCTTTTCTAAGACTGAGCTTCAATGGCAGCTTCTCCAAGCTGTCCATTGTCCCCCAGGTAGGGTCAAGGCCTCCTCTGGGCTCCCACAGCCCCTGGGCTTCCTTCAGTCAATCCTGATCTCACTACATTGTCACTGTCTCAGTATCTGTCTTTCCTTCCCAGATGCGAGCTTCCTGAGTATAGTGACCATGTGTGAGTTACCTCTCTGTCCCCAGGGCCCAGCAGAGTAGGGGATCCATGAGTAACTGTTGCAGAAATAAACAAGCCTGTCTTCTTCCCTCACTCCCCTATTCTTAGAGAATGAGTACTCAGTGGATGATGAGTGTTTGGTGAAGTTGCTGAAAGGCCTCTGTCTGAAATACCTAGGCCGTGTCCAGGAAGCTGAGGAGAATTTCAGGAGCATCTCTTTCAAGTAAGTGCCTCTGTGGCTGCTCCCACTCTAGGTGGCCTACTGCTGGGGCCCATGTCTCCTGGGTAGAATATGCAGGGTCTCTCCTTCCTCACATGCACTCCAATGCTTGACTCTAGCCTACCCCCAATTCACTACACTTGTACTAGTGTCTGTTCTATGCCAGGATCCTTGCTGGGCACAGATCATTAGACCTCATTCCCCGGGGCCACCAGATTGCCCACCTACAGGAGTCCATCCACACTGAAGTTTTAGGTGAATGGTGCCTCCTAGAGTTTGTAATTCAAGTCTGCCCTTGAGGAGCACAAATGTTACAGATAGACAGCTGTAGGCAACTCAAGTCTGGTATGATCAAGGCTGTGTTAAGAGGAAAGCAGGGAGGACAGTAGGTGCCCTGAGGAGGGACCTAAACATAATGCAAGATACCAAGAAAGGCTTTCCAGGGATGCCATTTTAACTGGGAAGTATTCCAGGCAGAGAAAGGAAAGCAGGAGTTTTAAGTGGGAGTAGGTACAGCATGTGCAAATGCCTGGACACAGGATAAACACCCAAGGTTGGGGTGATAGTGATTAGGTCCTTCCCTGCTTGGGTGAAGTTATAGAGGGAAAGGGTTATAGATGAAATAAGGGGTACTAGACTGAGAAGGGCCTGGATGTTTTGCTTACAAGGCTACTCTTTATCCTGCAGACAGAAAAGATCAGGAAGGATACTGAGCAGTGCAGGTTTGGGTTTTAAAAGAGTATCTGATGCAGCATGGAGAGTGGGTCAGAAGGGCCAGCCTGGAGACAGCAGACTTCCTAATTTAGTAAACCATTTAACTTGGACAAAGGGGGTTGGGGACAGTGGGCATGGGCTAAGGACATGGCATGAGCCATAAGTTATCAGGGAACTGAGGCCCTAGGTGCAGAGGACTGGAAGGCTTTCCTGTGGATCATAAGCCTTTCTACGGCTATGTGGTGGGAACCTTCCCCAACTAGGATTCGTTATCAGGAAACCCCACGTGAAGGCATGGATTAGATCCACTCGGGGAAGGCTCAGGAAGACTCTGAAGGATATCTCAAGGGCAGAGCCTGTAAGCCATGTCCTCCTCTGTCCCACAGTGAAAAGAAGATTAAATATGATCACTACTTGATACCAAATGCCCTGCTGGAGCTGGCCCTACTGTTTATGGAGCAAGGCAGAAATGAAGAGGCTGTCAAACTCTTGGAAACTGCCAAGTAAGGCATGGTTAGCGTCGGTCTGTCCTTTGTTCCCCCGGAGCTCAGGAGCTTCACTCGGGCTGGGGCAGCAGAGCACAGAGAGCAGGGAGGAAGGGTGCTGGTAAGGGCATTACGGCAGGCCAGAGGCTGGGCCTGTGTCCCTGGGAACCCAATTTTCACCTGGTATAGGGAGGCTTCTTCAATTTGCCAGTGAGGATTGGAATCCCAGAAGCAGGGAGTGAATTATCCAGGGTCACACCACAAGCCAACTGCTGGGCTGGTAGGAAGACCCAGGTCTCCTGCCTTCTAGCCCCATGGATTTATTTCTTAAATTCACTCCCTCAAGTTACTCAACAGGAGTAAGAGTGGTTCCAGAGGGTACAATAACAGGGTGAGGGGTTACACATCCTTTCGGTTTTTCTCTACTGGACAAGGCCCAACTCTTTGGACAGAGACAGGGATTTAAGTGTCTGAAAATCTTCCTTGGCCTGCTAGTCCCCTACAGTTCAGACTGAAGGAAAAGCACTTCTTAGAGCAGCCTCATATGCCTGATTCTCTGGTCTTTTCCAGGCAAAACTACAAGAATTACTCCATGGAGTCAAGGACACATTTTAGAATCCAGGCAGCCATACTCCAAGCCAAGTCTTCCCTAGAGAATGGCAACAGATCCATGGTCTCATCAGTGTCCTTGTAGTTTTCTGCAGCACTCCAGGCTGGAAGACAGAAACAGCTGGACAGAGCTCCTGGAAACATTTCAAAAAGATCCCCTCCCCTGCCTTTGGGGTCCACCGGTGCTCCAGTGGGATAGCATGACATAGGTATCCATGCAGAAGGAAAGCCGGCATTTTCACCAGTGTGGCCAAGGGCCTTTACCAAGGACGGAGCAGGTGGAGTCCTCTGCCTGCCCTGTCACACATACGGGTACTTGTTTTTCACTGTGATGTTTAAGAGAATGTATGACCAGTTTACATTTTCCTTAGAAATATTAATGGGATCACAGTTGGCTTTAAAAAAACAAAAAACAAAAAAACCCACTACCTGTAAATCTTTGTTTTAACCCATACTAATCTGGAGGTAAATCTATATATGATGCTTTTCAAAATTCAGCAATGTCTCAGCTTCCAGGGCCAGAAGGACCATTAAGGCTTCTGAAGGTTGGGCATAGATGTTGCACACTGACGCCCACTACCTTACTTCTTACACTTCATTTTCACTCCCTTAGTAACTTTCCAATTTAAAAAATGAAATGAAAATTATTTCACTAGAAAGACATGTGAATCCATCTGTAGGAAAAAAAAAATCTTTACCAATAAGGAATGGGAGTTGCTGAGGCCTGACAGAAGGGGAGCTGTGTGGCCCTTTCTGTGCTAAAGCCAAGAAGTTGGTCGGGGCAGGTTCTCAGACACCAATCTGCATCCTCAGTGTATGCCAAACAAACAGCTGGGAATAATTTACAAAACAAAAATCTTCTGTACTTCACTACGAGGTACATTCATTTACTGACAGCATTTGTCTTAGAATGGTTATTCCTGGCCCGTTGTGTATGTTTTAGATTTTTCAGTTAAGAGAAAAGAGATATTTAATAAAACTTATACACTTAAGAGATCATGCAACATCTATTTCAGTAAAATATGTGTTGCCTGAATTCTTGGGCAAGGCAGAAAAGTCTGGATCAGAAGCCATATGGCCCAGGTATGTTTTATTTAGACAACACAATGCCTTAAATGTTTTTAAAATAACATTTAAAAATGGGGATATGTCACAAATCTGGTTTCTGGCCTCTTATTTAAAAAAGAGAATCCAATCTGGCAACATTGGGCTCATCCCTATAAGACAACAAGGCAACAATCAAGTTGGAGCGGAGTAGAGGCTGCTCTCCACACTTATATTAACCTTCTGTCCCTGAAAAGCATCTGAATTTGCAAACTCTGGGACTGTTACAGCGAGAACTCAAGTTCAGTGACTAGACACCAAGCTTTACCATTCATAAGCTAATGACAGCATACTTCAACTTAAACCATTTCCCTGGTGGAAAAAAATCACGTACACGGTAAAAATATTCATGAGTGAAATGTGACTCCTCAAATACATGAATGCAATTTCTGTAAGGGAAGAACCACAGTTTCTCCAATCTTCCAGCATTGCTGGATTTTTAGCAAACACTTCTGAACATTTGCCAGGGGCTGGGTAGATTATTAACATAGTCAACCAGCCTTCTGTGACTAATAATGAAGTCATAGGTTTTAAGTAAAGCAAATTCTCATTAGGAAAACAGCAGAAAACCCTCAGTCAGGATCCTCTTTTGCATTTAGTACTGTCAGAGCAGAAATGCTATGAAAAAAAAAATTTCTCATTTTGTTAGAACTAGACACAAGAATGCTCTCCACTGAGAGCAAACCCTCTGCAAGCTTGCTCTCCAAAGCCTGGATTCTTGGAGACCAGCCTGTTTCTAGGTTGTTGGGCAGGGCAGGGTGAGAGGAATGACTAGAACCAGGCTGCTGAATGAGGGTGGCCTTTTGTGGTTCCTTCACATATTGGAACACTAATACCTACTGCTGTATAAAAAAAACAGGGCACTGGTCACAGGATACCAAGCACAACTTGCAAAACTGCAGTTAACAAAAAACTTTTCTTTAAACATTCATTTTAGGCACTTTTATTTTTAAAAATTTATGCTAGGATGGTTTCCTTGTCAATGTTATTACTGATTTCCTGTTGGGCTTCATTAATTAACCAATGTTACCTTACCTCTGTCTGCTGCCATGGCTACAGTCTGGCTGGTAAGAGAAATCAGTGGGGTTTTGTCTCCTTTATCCCACCTGCAGCTTATGAGATAGTCATATTAAAAACATGTTTGTGAAGTTGGGTGAAAATGTCAGGTGTCTAACACCATATCCTTGTGTGGAAGCTTTGAAGGTGAAAATTCTCTCCTGGGCTTCTTGTTCTATCTTCTTTCAGCCATTTCTGGTTGTTAATTCTCTAATAGTGCAGAGCTTTCCAGCTCTTATGCCCTAGAGAGGGAACTATCCGGTGGACAATTCTGGCCTAGAAGTAAGGAGACCTGAAATCTAGTCCCTGCTTTGTTACTAATTTTCAGAGTGACCTTGGGAAAGCCATGGACCCTCAAAAAATTAGTAATTTGCACTAGATTAAGGCTCTTTCCTGCTGTCAATGGTTCTAACTCTGGTCAAGTATATTTTTGGATTTTCATATCCAAAGTGAGACAAGAGATATATACCTCCCTACCTTTTGCCAATGCCTTATATCCACTCAACCAGAAATGATAGGCTTTCTCAATCAAAGGCCTCTATAGTAGCCCAGCACACTTGGAAAGCAAATAATCTTCATTTGGGGAAAGTCTAAATCCTGTTACACAGAGGAACTCCACCATTAGGAAGTAGCAACTGTGTACCATGATCTAAACAGGCCCTCAGCAATGGAAAGTCTACCTCTGCCTCTCAGTGGTCACAGGCCCTTGGACTCACAGGGTGGCTGCCAGCAGTGTGCTGGTCCCTATCAGCTCTCCCATGTGTTGGCAGGATTCCCTACTCCTTATCTCTCAAGTCAGAATGGGAGTATTTCCAAGACAGCTTTCGTCATTGACAGCAAAAAGTCATAAGCTGACAGCTAAAGCAGGACCCTAAGAGGCCAATGCCAACACAAGACTTGGCTGAGGCCCAGGTGAAAGAGTTCCAGCAACTGAAGAACGACACCAGGTGGTTTTCAGAAAGCCTCAGCCTGCTGAGTGCTAGAATCATGAAGAAAAACAAATCCAGGGAGACTTTTCTCTGGAGTTACTCCCAAATTTTTCTTCTAAGATGATGAGGACTTTTTCTTTGCTTCAAATTTAAAGCCTAACTGTGAGCCTTTCAACAACTGTTTCCTTATGTCTCTAGCACCATCATACGAATTCACTAATAAACGAGAGGTGCTTAGATTCTGAAAACCAAGCAAAATGGGAACTTCTCATACACACCTCAGATGCAGTTTTCCAAGGCTGGAAAATGCCTTTTTGCTTTGGTTAGCATTAGCTCTTTTGAAATCTAGTGCAAAGTCCATCACTGCCCAACAGGTTAAGTCCATAAACAAGGAACCTCATTTCGGGGCTTGAAAAATCCATTTCTAAATGAGGAATGTATGAATTGTTTCTACTATATAAAGCCAACTGTTAAGTAACAAAATATAACAGAGCCCTTCTTTTGGGAAGACAATTACTAAACGTTCCTTTGGACTTCTAAAAAGCTGACATTCAAGTTTAATCAGACACATCACAGCTAACACCTCACAAATAACTGGATTGGATTTTTTCGACACATCATTAGCAAATCGTTCAGAAAACCACATACCATATGCTTTGGGTGGAAAAATAATAGCTAATATTAAGTGCTCACTATTTACCTCTTGCTAGTCTAAGCATTTTACATGTATGTAATTCTCATAACCATCCTATGAAGTAGGGACTATTACAGATGAGAAAACTGAGACACAGGTTAAATAACTTGCCTAAGATCACACAGCTATTATGCAGCAGAAAGATTTAAAGCCAGGCAGCTGAATTCTAAAGCCCATCCTTTGCTAAACTGCTGGTCAAACCGTAAAATTATCAGGTTAAAGTTGGATCTGACTTATATTGACCTCTGGGCCACTCACTATCAAGGATGGAAAGGTTACTGGCTAATAGCTCAAACACCAGAAATCCTTGGCTTGGAACACATGGAGCATTTTTGTCTGTGTGGCATGGTTCTGGAATTGGCAAAATGTAGCCTATTTCCACACCTCTAGAATAGACAGTGCTGGAGGCGAATCTCAATGTCTTTTTGATAGCATAATCCAGGCTTCCCAATTCACACAATGTCTAAGACTTGCTTTTAGATCCTAAATGACAGAGTGAACTCTTATGAGGCCTCCCCGAGAAAAGCTGGGCTCATTACTTTTGCGAAGCCAACCAAATCTTATAAGCATTCAGCATTCACCACTAGGACCAGACTCTTGAGGCAAACCCTCAGTTACCTTTTTCAACTTCTTTTTCTCAGGGACAAGAAATTTGGAGCCTACAAGCACTGATGTTATAGAAGGGATCCGAACCATACAGGTGTTGCTCCTCCTTTGATCACAATTAGTTTTAGATGCTTAAAGTCTATACCTTATTGATAATGCTGCTTCATTCATACGCAGACAAAAACAAATTTCTGTGGAGGCATCCAAAGATGACTAAATCTTCCAGTGGACAGAAACTTAAAAAAAAATGTAAAGGACAGTTATCTCTCCTAAAGTTGCCTTGAAAACTTTATGAAAACAGTAAATGGTTTTAGTCTGTCAGCAACATTTATCAGATGGATCCAGCCGTTGTCCTGAGCTAATGCCTACTGCTCAGAGTGATAAAGCAAACAAGAACAATGTGGACAATTAAAACATGCAGATAAATCCAAATCCCTTTTGTACAGTTTTGCTGAAGCCCCTAACAAAAATTTTATGGATCAGGAAATGGGTTGTAAAGGGACTTGTGGATTTTGTTTCCATGTTAAAAAGCAAGGAAATAGCAAAAGGTAAAATGGAAAAGCAAAGTCTGGATATTCGTATCTGGAAAATCAACCTCTGAATAATCAATGAGCACCCAGTCGTGCTGTTATTTTTTAAACTACCACTATATAATTTATAAAAGGACTGGGTAGAATTAAGTGGGCTAATCATTTTTGTGGGATGTTTTTTGAGACCTACAGGCTCTCAGAAAACAAATTACAAAGTATATATTAAGTTAATATTGCCAAATACATGTGCCTCGCCCATTTATTAACATCTGTATGTCATTTTAATATAAACCTTAATGTGTTGTAATGTAACTCCCAGGAGCTTAAAAAAAGAGGCTCTTTTTCTCTAGTAAAAATACTTAATGTGCTGAGCTAATAAACAGCCCAGTTAACTTTCCCTAAATACATAAAATTAACTTACTATATCTTTCAAACCACTTAGAAAAAGTACTATTTTAAGATATTTATATTATACAATCAAACATTTACAGTTACTCCATTAAATTCTTGTTTCACTTGAATTACCACACATGAAAGCCATAAATCTGAATTGTGAGCATTAAACCACTGACTAACCATAGGCAAATACATGTTTTCACCTACAGAACTGAGAAAAAAATTTTTTCAGAGACCATTTTTAATGGCTCTCAGGAAAATCTCATTTAATAGTAGGTCAATCAGTAATTACATTCAATGCAACAATGAAAATTTAATAGTTGGACATTTTTACTCTATACTTTAACGAGCATTTATTAATAAGCACCTAGGTTTTGCGTACACCTTTAAGGAAAAAAATGTATTTAAAGAGATGAATGGGTAGATCCAATCTTTAAACGGGCAGACTAGCCTATACTTATGGATTCATTTCTGAAGGGAGCAGGAACATAGCCTTCATGAATAGAAGAGGCATGAAATTGACGGAAACGAGACCTCAATGGCCAAATATTTAGGAACTGAGACTTAGAGGGAAGAAATTAGAAGGAATTCAACTAAGTCCCCAAAGGGTTAATATAACATAGGAAGAGACAGCTCAGGACACTGATGGCTCTTATGCCCATACTTCCCATGATGGAGACATCCAGAATGGCCTGTGTCTTAGGGAAGTGTTGTTGAGTGTAAGATTAGCGCAGAGGAGCTGCATAGAGGGTACAGAAGGAGGGATTATAAACTCTCTTCTCTGACTTTCTCCCATCCAGGAAAAGAGTAGCTGATCTTTACTTTCAGTGAGAAATTTAAAAGTACGTGAGGAGATACTACTAACCAATCCAACTTTTATGTCCACAGTTTCAAAATTAAAGGCTTACAAAATTACTTGAGGTTACTACAGTGGCTGCAAGTGTAACCTCAGTTGGCTCTGAGAAACTGCTAGGCAATGCCTTTAAGCAGAGGTAACCACCGAACTGCCTACATTTCTGAATCATGCCAAAGAAACTTACCTTCATTACTGTTTACCATTTCAGTCTCAGAAGTACACAGGCAGGTCTGCTTTTTTAAAAATGCATCTTTACTTACGACGAAGCTTTGTATGCAAAGAATGTTTTAACACAATGCTCACTGTATTCTATAAAATCATATTGGCTTATATTACGCAGGGGACACTAACAGTAGGGGCAATCTTCTCCTGGTTTAAGAAATTCCCTATAAAGAACACTCAGAGGGGGCGCCTGGGTGGCTCAGTCGTTAAGCGCCTGCCTTTGGGTCAGGTCATGATCCCAGAATACTGGGATCAAGCCCCGCCTCGGGCTCCCTGCTCGGCGGGAGGCCTGCTTCTCCCTCCCCCACTCCCCCTGCTTGTGTTCCCTCTTTCACTGTGTCTCTCTCTGTCAAATAAATAACTAAAAAATCTTAAAAAAAAGCCCCCCAAAACTCAGAAAATTGAAAGGGTTTTTGTGAGAAGTATTTCAGCTTGTTGGGTTTACACTTAAAAGATTCTTTTACTTTTTCCTGGTCAGGCTTTTCAGGTATTTCAAATCCTACAGCCACCTTTGAACACATCTTGCCCAAATCTAAAAGTTGCACCTCTTATTTGGCTTCAGAAAATTTGAAGCTATCAAGCTTCTAAATTTATGATTAGATGGTGTTAAATACCACACCAGAAAAAAACCTTCCCAAAAAGTTTATAGACCTAGAGATTAAATTTATATACCACTTTAAAGAAAGAATTAGGTAATTTGGGGAATATTCTTATGTAATCAACTCTAACTGTAGCCCTTTACAACTGTATTATAACTTTATTTAAAGTAGTAAAAGCCAAAATTGATAGTTCTTAACATGGTGTATGGAAATCAAAATTAAAGAATACAAAGTACCTTAAAAATTTTTTTCAGCTCAATACTAGTTCCTTCAATATTACTACCAAACTTCTGTGAAATAGCCTTGCAAAAAGACTAACAGCAACATTAGATGATTTTTTTTAAAAAAGTTCACTTACCTATTTTAACAATCTAGAAAAAAGGAAAGTCTGACTATAATACTTGATGACACAGACATCATGTATTAAGTAGAAAACACAAGGATAAAAAAAAGTAATACCACTGAAAATATTGCACAACTTCAGGTTTTCCTCCAAATTTGCTTTATGTAATTGGGTGGATATAAATTAATGAATGAAAACTTAAGCAAGATACATGTAACAATTTAACAGAACCTGATAATCTAATTTTCAATTTTTCTCAAATTCATCTTTAAGTCTTTCCATCATGGGGCTCATAAGAAAATTAACCAACATATGGATACCACAGTCTAATGTCAAATCTTTAGAAGTATTTATGACATACTGAATTCCTCTACAATGCAATTATGAAGAACCCTCAAGATAATTGTGTTTTGTATGTAGAAAAGTGTTAGAGTCAAATATTCAACTCAATATAAAATAAGAAACATTTCTGATGTTAGATTGAGATTGCTTCTCTTTTGCTAATGAACGATTCTTAGCTGTAATATCATTGAGCTGAACAAATAAGTCACCTTTGAGTACATAAGGAAAAATAAACACATGCTAAATGGATAAAACATTACAAACTACATCTTTACTAGACCATCTCTACCTCTAACACTTCAGAAGCTTAGAGATTCAGAGTGCTCTTACAATGAAAAAGATAGAGAAATTCCCTCTTTGAGATCACAACTATGAAGTCATGTGGTTATACAAATTCTGCATTTGTGTGCAAAACATGAAATACGTTTATCTTAATTCTCCCTGCTTAGACTTGTCAGCCAGCAGGACTTTCCAAGAAACAGAGACTGAGATGTGTTTTATGTAACTTCAATAACCTCAGCACTACAATAATAAGAGATGCAGTATCCTTTTGCTATGGTTCAAGACAATAAGGGAAGGAGGTCACAAGAATAAATCAAAGCTATTACAACTGAGCAACTTTTCTCAGTTTCACCATGGTGCCACTTTCATTTTACATAAGCATGGTGGCATAATTCAAGCTCAATAAATCAGAAATCTTAGTATTTAAAATTTACCTTGACTTTTAATTATTACCATATTAACAACCAAAATAATTAGATAAAACACATGGGAAAGGGTAATAGTAAACCCCACTTTACTAGAGTTGTTTTTTGACATTAACTCAGTTTTTATAGAAAAGGGATAGTGCATCTCAGTTTGCTTACAAGCTAGGAGATCACTTTGAATTCTGCATTTCCTAACTGCAAACAGATATAGCACTTATAACAGGTTATAAATAAACTGGTTTTCAAGCATAGAGCCAGCCCCAACGATAATACAGTATTTAAAAAGACCTAAGGCAATGAATTCCATTTCCAATGGAAAAAAAGAACTGTGCAAACAAGCTTAAAACTACTTTTTTTGTGCCAGTGTTATAAAATGTAGCTTTTAATAAAACCTTGACCCAAATGCCAGCAACTTCAGAAAAGAATTTGGGTGGGGGGAAAAAGAGAGTTATTTCATTTAGGAAAAACAACCACTATCTTTTTCCTAATCTTCAACACACACAATTTAAACATATACAGCTGCTGTAACACTTTACACAATTCCTATGTACTGGAGCATAACAAGATCTAAATACAATTATATTTTTAAACACTGGGTCAAGGCTTTACATAAAAATACCATCCTACTTTTCCCCCTAAGTTTCTAAAATATCACGTATTTTTTCCCCAACATCTGCAGCCATTCAGGAATTTTTAGGAAACTTTTGTGCATGATCTTAATTCCTAATCCCTGGCTCTTTGGGCTCAGTGACAAAAGATCAAAACCACCAAAAATGATGGTTCACTTGTAGTCAGACCAGAGACCCTGGCTCAATTAGTCTCGTAGGACGAAAGCAGTGCTGCATCAACTGGCTCCATGCAAGAGGGGCACGTGAAGGATCTCATCAACCAGTCATCTATACAGTCCAGGTGATAGATGTGCATGCACGGCAGAAATCGAATCGGGTCCCCATAAACAAAGTCCATCATACAGATAACACACCTGTTGGGGGTGAGGGAGAGAAATCAGAAAGCAGTTTTAGAGAAGTGATATATCTAGAATACTCTTTAAAATCCCATTCCAAAGACTATGTTAATCTGAACAGATGAAAATGGCTCGCCTGTTATCCTACCACCAAAGCATGCAAACTGATTTTTTTCCTAATGAGCATTAATCCACCGACAATCTCTTATTTCGATCCCCTGGAAATTTGCGTGAGTTTGAGAGCTATCAACAGAACAAAGAGAAATGGACCACATGGGGATCAAGTCCATTCCTAGAACTGTGCATACAAAACATCTACCTATTATAGAAGACACCCGAAGAATGTGATGCTTCAGGTAGGAAGCCATCAGATTAACTTTACGTGAACTCAGTTTTTAGTGTAAGCCCAGGAGTAAAATAGTTTTCATTTTAATAACTATATGTAATAACTATATATGTTTATAGTAATATAATAACTATATATATTTCTCTTAAGAGAAAATGTTATGTAAAAACCACCACTAATTTCAGTTTACTTACTGGGCTGCTGTAGCTGAAGATCTCTTTATTAACCGTAGTTTCAAGTTCACTGAATTCTACAGGTTTAAGAAGCAACCCAATGCTGTAGTATTTCAGAAGTTAGTATTCAGGACAAGTTATTATCTTAAGTACTAGCACTAAATGGTGCTATGGCTCAAATAGCCAAGCATCAACATAGTAAATTAGATTATGTCTTTGTTGGCAAGACCATTCTCAACCTAAAAGGAGAATGTCCTCATTAGGGATTCTCAGACAATGAGCTCTTAGGACAAAAACTTCCCAGAAGTAAAATTTGATACTCAACTCAGTCTTAATAAAATTATTCCTCAAATTAAAAATAGGTATAAGATTTTCCTCATTATCACTAAAACTCCTTAATTTTAATGGCTGCATAATCTACCAGAGTATTCCTATGCCACAATCTACTTAACTATAGTTCTCCTCTAAATAAAACCAAGGTGAATATCTTTGTGTATAAAGTGTCAGGAGTTGGAGTGAGATACACATTTTAGGATAGATCTCTGTCTCAAAGGATATAGACCTGAGAAGGTCTATTGCCAAATTGCTTTCCCAGCTGACAGGGCCACCAGCACACTCATGCAGGTGAATATTTTTAACTGACATCAACTGTCATCCAAATGGACACAGACAACATATAAAATGGTCAGAATTCACATGATTTCTTAACTTTTTTTTTCAATGAAAATTCTTAATTGCTGTATCTCAGATATGTTCTGTTGCATGAACTGATTATATTAAATATCCAACTTCTAAAATGCAGGAGAATATTTTTCAAAAGCAAATCTCTGGAGATAGACCTTTGAAACATGTATACATTTATTAAAACTTACTCCCGGATCTTTTTTTCTGATCCATCCCTTCCAGGGTCATAAACTCCTTTAGGCAGATGTTGTATAAGGCCTATTCTTTGAGCTATCCTAATTTGTTCCTCTTCAGTCAGCTGAGTTGCTAGGCGAGTCTGGCTAGGTGTTGGATGATAGACCGGAACTGGAACTTGTTCCTAAATTTTAAAAAAGAGAAAATGATTATTTTTTAAACATCTGCTTTCTGGGGGTAATGTTTTCCTTGTCTCTTTTTTTTTTTTTTTTGCTTAGTGGGTGAGAGGTGACCTTGGAGAGGTAGGCTGGGCTAGTGTGCAGTAGTATGAGATTGTTTTACTCTGCCTTAACTTTAGCATACCTGACCAAGTTTTAAAATATAAAAACAGGGGCGTCTGGGTGGCTCAGTGGGTTAAGCGTCTGCCTTCAGCTCAGGTCATGATCCCAGGATCCGGGATCAAGCCCTGCATAGGGTTCCCTGCTCAGCGGGGAGACTGCTTCCCCCTTTCCCTCTGCCCCCCCAACTCATGCTTGCTCTCTCTCTCTCAAATAAATAAAAATCTTTAAAAAAAAAAAAAAGAAAAACACAATCTTCACTGAAAAACTCACAAGGAATGTTGTTTGAAGTATTTCCACATGAATATATTGTTCCTGATATACAAATACAGTAATTCATCTATTTATATATCAGGAACAATACATAATAATTAATAAAATGGACTGTATTCAATATTCTCTGTAGGCTGTATTCTGTATTCAATGGAGCTTTATAGTCTCAGTATACCATTATTTACATTAAAACTGATCACTATAGACTCTTATTTGTAAACTTTTTTCCCCATACAGACAACCTTAAAATTTATTTAGAAAGGCTGGGTATTATTGCAATAAACTTTTTGTAA